CGGTATGATGAGATTCACTTCGGTAGCCGTCGTAACCGTTTCAACCGTGGGATGCGGTTCAGTCCGAACATGTTCCAGCCTATCCATGGGGAGCAGCGTGGTGGTGCAGGTCCTACGCCGATGGAGCTGGATACGATTGATAAGAACAAGGAGAAGCGGAAAGGCTTTGCTGGAAATTGTTTCAAGTGCCGGAAACACGGTCACAAAGCACTCAACTGCCCTACCAAGCCTAGGAAGCCAGGAAACAAACCTCACCAGTAGCTTCGGGGCGAGTTGCTGGTGGTGAGGAGTGCCCCACCTTGCTGACTCCAACCTCAACACCGCTGCAGCAGGAGTCGGAAGGAGCTATAGTACTTCGGGGGCAGATTCGTGGTAAAAGAGGTAAAGATGTTGCTGGATAGTGGTGCTTCATCCAATTTCGTTTCTTCACGGTTGGTGCATGAACTGAAGTTACCTGTGCAGAGCGGTGCAGCAGAGGGTACGGTGCGCATGGCGGATGGTGTAGTGAGGAGCTGTGGAGCTGAACTGTACCCGGTCAACTGCAAGATAGGAGAGTTTCATGGAAAGATTCCGTTTCAACAAATCTGGCTGGACAATCATGACGTCATTTTGGGCAGGAACTGGTTGGCAGCAGTGAACCCTCAGGTGGATTGGAAAACCAGGGAGGTCAAGGTGCTGTTTGGGGGAAGATCTGTACGCCTACCAGTGGTGCAGCAGCAGGAGGGGATGGCCTTGCAGCTGATTAGTGCGAAGCAGTTTGGTAAGGCCATTCGGGGGGAGGAAGCAGTTTTTCTAGGTCTCATCACAGAGGTTCAGCCTACATCACCTGAAGCAGCAATACCAACGGTTTCAGCATCACATGAGGATGAGGAGTTAACACAGGGTGTGGAGAAGTTGCTGGAATATTTTTCTGGGGTGTTTCCCGAGGACTTACCGGCTGGACTTCCTCCTAAGCGAGCTGCAGATCACAGGATAGAGCTGATTCCTGGATCTACTCCACCTGTTCGACCGACCTACAAGATGATTGCAGTGGAGCTGAAGGAGTTGAAGAAGAAGTTAGAGGACCTGTTAGCCAAGGAATTCATTCAGCCTAGTTCCTCTCCATACGCTTCTCCGGTGCTGTTCGTGCGGAAGAAGGACGGTTCTCTGCGGATGTGCGTAGATTACCGTGGGCTCAACAAGATAACAGTGAATAACCGGTACCCACTGCCACAAATAGATGAGCTGTTCGAGCAAGTTGGTGAGGCACGGTACTTCTCGAAGCTGGATCTGCGTTCGGGGTATCATCAGGTGCGGATTCAGAGTGAGGACATCCCAAACACGGTACGGTCACTATGAGTTTCGTGTGTTGCCCTTTGGTCTCACCAATGCTCCAGACTTTCCAAGGCATGATGCACAGCATTTTCAGTGATTTCATTGACAAGTTTCTGGTGGTTTTCATTGATGACTTGCTGGTTTACAGTTGCACTCGTGAGGAACACCTCAAGCACCTTGAGCTGGTACTTGCACGACTCAGTGAGCACAGATTGTATGCCAAGCGTTCAAAGTGTGAGTTTGCAAAGACCAAGCTGTCTTTCTTGGGTCATGTCATCTCTCATGGGAAGCTGGAGGTAGACAACAGCAAGGTAGCAGTGCTGAAGCAGTGGAAGCAGCCGAGTACAGTGAAGGAGGTGCAGGCGTTCTTGGGGCTAGCAAACTACTACCGGCGGTTTGTGAAGGGGTTTGCAGCAGTGGCAGCACCTCTGACCGATCTCTTACGGAAGGGCTCATCATTTAGTTGGGGACCATTGCAGCAGCAAGCTTTTGAGCAGCTCAAAACGTCTCTGACCTCACCCCCTGCCCTAGCAGTACCGAATCCAGAGCTTCCATACTTCATTTGGTGTGATGCATCATACGTTGCCCTTGGAGCCATTCTCTGCCAGGAGCAGGAAGCTGGGCTGCAACCAATAGCTTTTGAGTCAAGGAAGCTGACTGCTGCAGAGCGCACATATCCCATTCATGAGAGAGAGGCACTTGCTGTGGTGCATGCACTGAAGAAGTGGCGCTGTTATGTAGAGATGCAGCCCGTCACAGTCTTCACTGATCACCGAACACTGGAGTACCTGAAAACACAGTCACAGATCACACCACGACAGGCGCGGTGGGTTCAGTTTTTGGAGCAGTACGTCCCCAACCTGCAGATTGTGTACAAACCAGGGCGCTTCAATCCGGCAGGTGTTCTTTCACGGCCAGCAGCAGAGGAGCTGAATGTCATGGGTGTGGTTACATGGGACCACAACTTCATCACTCGTTTCAGCAGGGGTTACAATCGTGATCAGCTGTACCAACAGAAAGCCCCTCATGACCCATCCTTCCTTTTCAGCAATCCTTTTTGGACCCGTGCAGATTCTGGTGCTGTTTGTGTACCTGATGACTCCAGGCTTCGCCAGCTGCTATTACACGAGTACCATGACAACCGGTCACACTTCGGCAGTGACAATACGTATGCTGCCATTTCTCGTGACTACTACTGGCCTGGACTGTCCCGGAGTGTAGCAGAGTATGTTTCTTCATGTCCTACCTGTCAGGTCAACAAGGCTCGCACCACTGCACCGGCTGGTCTGATGCAACCATTGGAGATACCCACAGCCCCCTGGACTTGTGTTTCTCTGGATTTTATCACAGACTTACCCCGCACCCCAACAGCCTTTGACAGCATCTTGGTGGTCATTGACAAGCTGTCCAAGATGGCTCATTTCATCCCTACAACTGGCACAGTGACTGCTGCTGAAACTGCCAAGCTGTTTTTCACACAGGTGGTGAGATTGCACGGACTGCCCTCAGCCATAATCAGTGACAGAGACACACGGTTCCTCAGCAACTTCTGGACTGCACTGTTTCAACTGCTGGGCACACAGATTCGGCTCTCTACAGCCTACCACCCTGAAACTGACGGTCAGACAGAGCGCATGAACAGAACCCTGGAGGATGCGCTACGCTCGTGTGTGAATGCCATGCAAACTGACTGGGATCAGCACTTGGCAGCAGTGGAGTTTGCCTACAACAGCAGCCCCAACATTGCCACGGGAGAGCCACCGTTTCTGTTAGCTACGGGACAGCTACCACGCTCAGTCACATCCCTCCCTCACCCTCTTCAGTCCCCTAACCCCACAGCGGCAGATTTCATCTCTTCTCATCACCGCATTCTTCAACTTGCCCGAATGAAGCTTCAGCTTGCACAAGAGCGCCAAGTTCGCTATGCCAACCAGCATAGGCGTCACACCACTTTCAAAGTTGGTGATTTGGTGCTGCTTTCAATGGCTAACCTGCCCCTGCTGAATGCAGGAACTTCTCGCAAGCTCGCACCCAGATTCGTTGGACCATTTCCCATCACCAAAGTTCTTTCACCGGTCAGCTACCGCCTTCAACTCCCTCCTCACATGACCATACACCCTGTTTTCCATGTTCACCTTCTTCGTCCTTACCGTACTCCCTCTCACCCATTCCAGCCCCGCCCATCCATGTTCTCTGCCCATCCGGACCTGCATGAGGTCGAGACCATCTTCTCACACCGTGACACCCCGGTTGGCCGTGAATACCTCATTCACTGGCGCAACACCTCAGCATCTGAAGACTCATGGGAACTGTTCTCCAACCTCAGCCATGCTCCTCGTGCCATTGGAGTCTATCATTGCCTTCAGGGAGGGGAGGTAATGTAACAAGTGAAGCTGGCTGCACTGGAGCCCGCGTGAAGTGCACGAGAGGCAAGGTCATGCAGCAGCAGCGTGCAGTTGCGAACGTGGGCAGCACAAGGGCGGAAGTGAGCAGGGCGTGGGGGACCCACGTGAAGAGGACGAAACAGAGGTTTCGTGCCTTGACTGACTTGGGGGGACTTCCGCATGGGACAGGTGGCGAAAGTCCAGATCTGGAGGAATAGAAATGTAACACGTGTGTGTGTGCTGTGAGGTGTATAATTGTGAAAAGGGAGATGGAATGCGGCTCGATGTCGGGGCTGGCCACCCGAATCGGCATTCCGAGTCGCATGTCTGAATTGTAAGTACTGTACATATAGAAATACATTCGTAGGATTAGAGTAGTTGTTCCTTGTTTCCCTTTCTGTTTGTTCTCTCTTTTCTTCTAAGGAAATTCCCTTGGCAAGAATTCTGAGCCAGAAACACTAGAACAAGCCCAAGAGCCGTTGAGCTTGTTCCATCACCTCCGTCCTCGCCACCACCTCCTGCACTCGCTGCCGCAGCCGACGCATGTGGCAGCAGAGGCAGATGTGGGAGCAGCGGCAGATGTGGGAGCAGCGGCAGATGTGAGAGCAGCGGCAGATGTGGGAGCAGCGGCAGATGTGGGAGCAGCGGCAGATGTGGGAGCAGCGGCAGATTTGGGAGCAGCGGCAGATTTGGGAGCAGCGGCAGATGTGGGAGCAGCGGCAGATGTGGGAGCAGTGGCAGATGTGGGAGCAGCGGCAGATGTGGGAGCAGCGGCAGCGGCAGCAGCAGAGAGGCGGCATGCAGCGGTGCCGTTCCTAGTGGACGACCTGATGGGCAGCTGGGGCGCAGCTGGGGCGCGTGACTCGCGGCGCCTACTACCTCTGCAGCTTTGGCTGCTCCCGCCACGATTCGGAATCGTCGCTCTCCGCGGACCAGCGCCTGGAGATCCGGTCCCTTCCGCTCTCCGATGCCTTGCGCACGCGTCTCCAGCAGCTGCTGTCGCGACACCCGTAGCACGTGAGCGCGCTGCACATGCCCGTGAGTCTCGACCACACCCCACATCAGGCGTGGCAGCTATCGGAAATGATGGGCTTGGCGCGCTCATGCATGAACCTGCGGTCGCTGCACCTTGTGTCTGAGCCACCCAGAGACGCCTCGTGCCCGATCCACGAGGAAATGACAAAGCCCAGGGATTGGGGATGGAAGGCGCGCGCTCAGGCGGAGCAGATGAGGCAGCTCATATTGAGTTGTCCACATCTACGCTCACTGCACTTCAGCCTCTGTATCAACAACTACCTCACAATGAGTGAAGAAGTAGCTGTCTTGCTCTCCCGTCCCGCCCACCTCTCCCTGCCTCTCTCCGACCTCCCGCCTTACCTCCTGCCCCACCTCTCCTCCCTCCGCTCCCTCCACCTCTCCCTCTCTGCTCCCCACCATCCACTCCTCTCCGGTCGCCCCTTCCACTCACTCTCCCGCCTCTCCCTCCTCCACCTCTCCCTTGGCTCTCCCACCACCGGCCTTTCCGAGCCTCTTCTGCCGGACCTGTTTGATGGGCTCGGACCGAGCCTGTCGTCCTTGACGTTTCTAGTGTGTGCGAAGCCGAAAGCAGCGGAGGGGGAGAGGAGGAAAAGGCATGGTGGGAGGGCGGAGGGAGGAGGCGGGGAGGAGGAGGGTGGTGGGGGATGGGTGGGGTGGGGAGGACGAGGTGGTGGGGTGGCTGCCTGCCTCGCTGTGGTCGCTCACGCGCCTGCATCAGCTGGCCACCAACGTGGGAGGCGAGTGCCACTGCACGGGCCTCAACACCCTCTTCCGCCCCCCACGATTCTACACAACACACCCGCACCAGTGCCACTGTCAGTGCCTAGCCGCCCTTCCTAACATAACCTCTCTCTCCCTCCTCGCTCACCGCTCCTTCCCTCCCTGCCTCTCCTCCCTCTCCTCCCTCACTCTCCTCTCCATCCCCCTCGCCTCCCCCCTCCACCCCCCCGCTTCTCTTGCTCTCTTCGCCCACTGGCCCCGTTTGTCTCATCTGAACGTGAGTGGTGTGGGTCCCGCCGAACCAACCTTCTGCCATCCTGAACCTGCAACTCTTATCGCCGAACCTCTCATAAGCCCCGGAGCAATTTGTCAGCCTCCCTCCGCCACGTCACTCTCACGGGGACAGCTGGCGTCATCCCGTTGGTGGTGTGGGGGCGGCTGTGCCCTCAGATGCAGTCGCTCAAGATCCACGGCTCGCCCTTCGTTTCTCTGCACGGGTGGGGGGGGGAATGGGGGAGGAAACGGCATGGATTGATGAATCAGAGGGCGCATGTGGTGCAGCAGAGGCGGCAGCTGCGTGCTCCTTCCCTTTCCTTGAGGAGCTTGTGCTCCACAATTTGCGGCGCCATGCGGGCTCTCGCTCAGGGCAATGGCACGTGCAGACCCACTGCCCACATGCAGACCCACTGCCCACATGCAGACCCACTGCCCACATGCAGACCCACTGCCCACATGCAGACCCACTGCCCCAGCAGCAGCACACGCTCGCATTGATGGGCGAGCTGCCGCGCCTGACCCACTGGCCATCCATGACTCGCCATGGCCGTCCCACCCCCCCATGCACGCACCCACCATCCTGCCGCACCTCCTCCCCAACCTCACCTTCCTGCGCATCCACTCCCCCCCACGTGCGCCCCTGCCCGTGCTGCGTCACCTGCGCACGCTCATAGTGGGGTCCTACCCGCACTCCTCGCGCTTCCTCGCCGCGCTCTCACTCTTCCCCGCCCTCACGGCCCTCCGCATATTTAACCTCTCCACGCACAACCACCACTCAGCCCTCGCATGCCCTCCCCACCTCAAATCGCTCCAAATCTTCCACTCCCTCACTCCCCTCCTCCCCGACTGCCTGCGCCTCTTCTCCTCCCTCACTCGCCTCCATCTTTTCCAGTCTACACCGCTCCGCGCCCTCCCCTCCTTCCTCTCCTCCTTATCCTCCCTCACCCACTTGAAATTGGGTCGTGGCTACAACCCTGTTGTGGTGCCTGTGGGGCTTCAAGGGTATCTGCAGGGGAGAGGCTGGGCGCGAGAGCAGGAGGAGGAGCAGAAAAGGAAGGGGCATCAAGGGAGAAAACCGAAGACAGATTGGGAGATTGAGGAGGAGAGGAGAAGGAAGATGATGTTTCAGAGTGTGTTTGAGGGATCGGTGCTAAGTGAGGAGCAGAAGCAAGAGCGGGTGGGGAAGAACGAGGAAGAGTAGTGGGAGTGGAGGAGTGAGGGTGTACGAGGAGAGGGGCAGGACATGCAGCAGCAGCAGGAGGAGGCGGGAGGAGGAGGAGCAGGGAGGGGAGTTGGTGCAAGGTGGAGGTGAGAGGCTCATGCAAGGAAGCGAGTGGCAGCAATCATGATTTGCACGATCAACGGAAGTTAACACCAGAGGAGGTTCCAGCAGGGGCGTTACAGCATCCAAAGCACAGCAGTAGCAGCAATAGTGAGGAGAGCAGCACTCCCAATGGCACACAGCTGCTGCAGTTGCCACCTGCGGTGCTACAAGGCATGCTGCAGCTGCCACCTGTGGTGCTACAAGGCATGCTGCAGCTGCCACCTGCGGTGCTACAAGGCGTGGTGCAGCTGCCACCTGCGGTGCTACAAGGCGTGCTGCAGCTGCCACCTGCGGTGCTACAAGGCGTGGTGCAGCTGCCACCTGCGGTGCTACAAGGCGTGCTGCAGTTGCCACCTGCGGTGCTACAAGGCGTGGTGCAGCGGGTGCAGAGTCCTGTGGACCAGGGGAGAGTGAGACCGGTGTGCCGCGAGTGGCACCACTGGTGCCGCCTCCACACCTCCTGCTTCGCCCTCGCCCTCCACCCCCTCACACTCGCCTGGCTGCCCGTCCCCCTGCTCCACCCCCCTCCCTCCACTTCCTCCTCCTCCAAGCCTGTTTGCAGCAGTCACAGCATGATGAGCCACCACGAGACAAGAGCAGAAGCAGCTTTCAGCGGTTCTCCTCTCTTCTCCTCCTCGTGGCTCCCCTCCGACTCTCCCTTCTGGGTCATCCACTCCTCCCCCACCTCCTCCTCCATGCTCCCATCCTCCTACCCTCCCTTCACCCTCCCCCCTCCCATCACCCTCTCCTCCCTCTCCACCTGCTTGGTGCCCCCTCTCCCCTCCCCCTCCTCACTCGCCCACACCCTCGCCAACTACCCCAACCTCTCTACGCTCGCCCTTCCCCTCGTCTCCACCACGGCCTGCCCCCTCCGCCCCTCGCATTTGCGCTCTCTGCTTGCTGCTGCTGCCGCTCTCCCTGCTCTCACCTCCCTCTCCTTGCTCCTGGAGCCCGGCTTCTCAGCCAACCACGAGTGTGGCTATGGACGGGACGACTGGAGGGCGGCTGCTGGGATGGAGAGGAAGGTGGGGCGATGGTGGGGGGAGGCGAACCAGGAGATGGAGAGGGGGCTGTTTGCCGTGCTGAAGAGATGCCGGTGACTCAAGCAGCTGTGCATTCAAGGGGAGACCCTCACAGACCGCCTCAAGCTCCCCGACTCTCGCTTCCTCCGCTCCCCACAACTCACCGCTCTCTCCCTCCCTCTATCCCGCTTCTCGTCCTCCCTCCTCCTCCTCTCGCGCCTCACCTCCCTCGCCCTCGCCCTCCCAGAAGAACACATGCCTCCTCAGCTCTCCCTCTCCTCCCCCTTCGCCCACCTCCGCTCCCTCCGATCGCTCTCCCTGCATGTGCCAAGCACCCTCAGCCGCTACTACCACCCTGGGGCAGCTGGAGCAGTGTCTCTGACGACCTGCTGCTGGGTCTGCTCTCCTGCCTCTCCTCCCTCTCCCTGCACCTCCCCGTCTCCACCATGCCCTCTTCCTTCTCCTGCCTCACTTCCCTCACTTGCCTCGACACCAACCTCTGGATTTCGGGACTGGAGGACGCAGAGCAAGGGTTGGTAGTGGAGGACGCAGAGCAAGGGTTGGTAGTGGAGGACGCAGAGCAAGGGTTGGTAGTGGAGGACGCAGAGCAAGGGTTGGTAGTGGAGGACGCAGAGCAAGGGTTGGTAGTGGAGGACGCAGAACAAGGGTTGGTAGTGGAGGAAGAAGCGGAGGAGGAGGTAGGGGAGGTTGCAGCAGAGCAAGAGAGAAATGGGGAGGAGGAGGTTATGAACGGGCTTCTTAATGCCCGTGCTGCCTCGGGAATTATTGACGAGAGACCGCTGCCTCTCTGCAACCTCACCTCCCTCTCTCTCTCCCACTACCGATTCTTCCGCTCTCTCATTCGCCACCTCACCCGACTCACCTCACTCGCGCTCCCATCGCTTCACCTCTCATATGGCAACCAAGTTAACACCGCGCCCTGCTCCCTCCACCACAGCCTCTCTCGTCTCACTCGCCTGCAGGAGCTCTTCATTGGTTGCGACGACTCTGCCTGCCTGCCCCGCCTGCCCCGTCTGCGTCGCCTGCGTGTGCGATGCCCCGATGAAACCGTGCACGTTGCTCGGCTCATCGCAGCCGTGGCACCATCTCTGGAGCAGCTTGACATCGACCCGACTACCGCAATTACACCTCCGCAGACCTTTGCAGCATGGTTGGCTGGCGCAGAAACGACGAGGAGTGGAGGGCGCCTGTGTGTCAGCAGCTCAAGGTGCTGCAGCTGGTGACGTCAGGCCGCGCTTCCATTGTCGACATGTCTCTCGACCCTGCCCTGGAGCACATGGCACTCGCTGCCAGCTCATATGTGGCCTGGAAGGTGGGGAGTGGCTTCTCTGCCAACCTTTGCTTCCTGCACTTGGACCGTGGAAAGCTGTCGGGATATGACAGTGAACCCCGGCTGACGCAGCTCACGGCGCTCACCACTCTGGTGGTGGACAATGCTGACTGCCGGGACTTCCTTGCATGCCTCTCCTGCTTCTCCTCCCTGCACACCCTCCGCCTCTCCAACATCACCAGAGGCTGCTCCGAGCCTATCTCACGTGCCCGCCTCTCCTCGCCACGCTTCAAATCTGTCGCTGCGACCTGCCGCACCTGCCATCCTCACTGCTCAAATCCTCACTCGTCTCCACCATTTCAGACTCACCGCAGATGGCCCCATGCCCAATGTGCCGGCATGCCTGAGAGATTTTCTCATAGGAAGGGACTTGTATGAGCATTCGCCTTGTGATGGGAGCTTTGAGAGTTGAGCATGTCGATCCTCCCTCTTCGTTTTTCAACCCATCGCCATATCTCACCAGAACATACCTCATTCATTCACGCTACGGTGGTACGGTAATAGATGGTTAGCCTCCATGGTAGGGGCCGCAGTTCACAGAGGTGAGGCGTTCTTTCGATGCTTTGCTCAAGTACCGGGTCAGGAACTCCTCTTTCTGGTGCTAGTGGGCCCCTTCACCCGGCCGGCAAGCTTCGGAGGTCTTGACCATATTTGTGCCTTTGTATCTAGGATGTGAAGCAGGCGAAGGCTGCCCAGCGCCAATTACGGTACCACGATGGTGTATACTAGGATCAAACCAGGATCTCAGGCTTCTCAGCTTCCTTTCGAGTGAATATGCCTACCAATTGTACATACACCTAGCAATATACAGTATGCATAGTAAGACATATCTTTAACTATACAGCATCCAAATAATGTACATATATTCTGCAAGGTAGCCAAGAGGCAGACTAGGGATCTTGAGCAAGGCCGGGTCTTGGAGACATTGCACCTAGTAGCCAATGGAAGCCATTGAACCAGGCTTTGAGCAGGAAGCAAACAACTGGAGCGGAAAGCAAGACTGACAACCCCGGCAGCAGAGGCTTTCGGATGAAAACATCCCAAAGCTTGCGAACACACCACCCCCAGTTGTGCTGGACCTCCTCCCTTCTTACTAGCTCTGCTGCTGCAGCAGCACCTGCTGCTGCTTCTGCCGCCATTTGCATCGCCTCTTGCAGGTGGCTCACCTCCCTCTCCACCTGCCCCTGCAATACACACAGCTGCTTCCAAGCAGCATCCACGCGTTCCTGTTTGCAAGCAAGCGCACTGTGCAGCGACTGAAGCTTCTTCACTAGAGTTAGAGGCACTTCTGCCGAGTCCAAGGCGGGAGAGGGCTGAAGCATGTATGCCAACTGCTGGTTGAGGAGAAGGTAGCTGTCAGAGGCCTGGTGGGCATGTGAATGGATGTGGACACGAGGAGATGGGCATGAAGAAAAGGTGGGAATGATTCGGCCGCGAGTGGTCAGTGCAGCACAGTCGATATTGCACTGGGCGGATTATTATGGAAAAAAACAAGGAAAAGAGGAACTTCACAGGGTGGCAAAAGAGACACTAAAGAAAACCAAAGCTTATAGACGATGACAACAGGCAAATTAATTAAAAGGGTGAGCTGAAGGGGTGTCAGGGTTAGCAGAGTGGGAGGGGGAAGACCTTGACCACGGTGCTGGCGAGGCCGCCGAGGTGACTGAGGAAGGAGAGGAGGTGGGAGTGAGACGTGGTTTGGGCTAATGGCAAAGCCTCCTTCCGCGCGTCTCCATTCGCCTGCCACTTCACGTCCCCATTCACCTGCAGCTTCACATCCCCGTTTGCGTGCCACTTAACGTCTCTAACGCCCCCATCCGCCAGCAGGAACGCACCCTCACTCTGCTCCTGCTGCCACCCCAGGTCCCCATGCAAGCTGCTGCTGGCGCGCGGCTGCAGGATGAGTTGCTTGGAGGTGACCAGAGCGCCCATGTGCTGGTGTGCGGCCCTGATTGCCACCACCTCCCTCTTGCCCTCGGGGAATGACGTCGCCAGTTCTGGAAAGAGGGGTGGCAGGGGCGGAGTGGGGGGGCGAGCGCAGGTGGGAACGGGGGTCAGCAGGGTGCTGATGTGAGAGTGGGGACGTGAGACAGTGAGAAGCAGGGCGGATTATGTGAACGACTGTTGACTTCGAGAGAGAGCGGGAACGCGAGACAGTGAGAGGGTGGAAGTTAGGGAGAGAGATTGAGAAAGGGGATTGCTGTGCGCCGTGTGAGGGAGGCGTCGACAGGGAACGGGAAAAGGTTACGATGCGGAAGGGGAGAGAAGCGAAGTGAAGCGGAGATGAGAGGATAGACGGGACGAACAGTCAACGCGTGCACAAGGATGCAAGAAGTCACGGAAAACCGAGACGAAGACAAAATGGACGAGGCGCTTCGCAAGGCAGGTTTAGAGATTCAGCAGCTGCGCTCTGAAAGAGTGCGGAGGTTACGGTAGCGGCGTTAGCAGCGGCGGTACCTTGCATAACCACGGGGAACTGAGAGAGAGGAAAATGGCACGCGGTTTCGAAGAAGCGCATGGGGAGAAACACGAGGCGGCGCAGCCGCGGCAAGTGGTCGAGCGCGTATGTTTGGGCATGGTGCAGCACGGCGGACATGGCCTTGGGGTCGTGCTCCGAGCACAACCGCTGCAGCACCGTCAGAACATCCGCGACGCCGATGGGTATATCCTCCACGGATCTGACTAGCTCCTCTACCACATGGTCCTCCGACACTAAATCACCCATCAAGCTAGGATCTATGTGATGAAGCGGGGAGATTAAGTTTGACGGATTATGCGTGGGCGTTCACTTCACAGTACGTATTGCAAGCTTGCGCGAGATTCAAATCATAGGGAAACTGGCTCTGGTGATGTGTGACCAGGCCTGTCGAAGTCCTTCGGACCAACACTTCGGGTCCTGAGCTGCTCGAAGTTTGGCCCTGATTTTTCGCGAAGGTGACCGTTGCTTCGTAGATAAGTGATTTGCTGGCGAGGCACGAAATGAAAGTTGACGAGGAAGAAAAAATCACACGAAACCTGAACAGAACCAAACCAGAAGCGAACCAAGCACAAAGGTTCGGGATGCACCAAAGCCAGTACAAAAGGTTCGAGAGTCGCACGCACGGAAGGGCACTCGTGTCAAACCAAGGAAACGAAGCGACAACAAGTGATGCAGTAGTCGACGCCTGAAATCCTGGTGATACTTTGTACAGTTCCGTAAAATAAGTCAGTTATGTTTGTGGTGTTGAAAGCAAATAGTAGCCAGCTTATGGAAGTGTAGTGTGAAGGAATAGCATAACGCATGTATGGTGATTTCATATGCATGTTTCAAAATATTTAACCATTTATAGGTCGGGATATGGTAGGGAAACTAGAATCGAGGCTCCTACTTTTAATGAATTACATACGGAAAAGAACCAGCACGTAAGTATGGCTGACACAACCCATGTGATCCTGCTATGAGCATGAGGCACATGGAACGCCCCCCCACTTCATCACTTCTGCCCGTTATTTGCCTGTTGCCCGTGCATCCTGTCATGGGAGGAAGGGAGGGAGGCTTGGGGGAAGGGGGGGGGATGCGAGGAAGGGAAAGGGGATGGGGGAAGGGAAAGGGAGATGCGGAAGGGAAAGGGGATGTGGGAAGGAAAAGGGAGATGCGGAATGGAAAGGGGATGGGGGAAGGGAAAGGGGGATGGGGAAGGGAAAGGGGGATGCGGAGAAGGGAGAGAGGTATGGGGGAAGGGAGAGGGAGATGGGGTAAGGGAAAGGGGATGCGGAGAAGGGAGTGAGGTATTAGGGAAGGGAAGGGGGATGTGGGGAAGGGAATGGGGGATGGGGTAAGGGAAGGGGGATGCGGGGAAGGGAGAGATGTATGGGGGAAGGGAAGGGAAAGGGGGATGGGGGTGGGAAGGGGGAGAAGTGGAAGGGACGGTGAATGGGGGAAGGAAGGGGGATGGGGCGGATGTGCAGCAGCAGCAGCAGCTGCCGCACCACTGAACCCGTTCACACGCTTTCACCGGCCGCGCCCCCTCCTGTCCCTTCTCGTCTCGACGCGTCTCCTCCTGTCCCTTTCCTCACCTTTCCGTCCCGTCCCTTCCTGTCCAGTTCCGTTGCTTCTTGCATTATCACGTCGCTTCCTGTACTATACCGGCGTTTTCATTTCCGTCTCATCCCTTCCTGTCCCTTCCCGTTCCCTGATGTACCCAGGACCTAGAATTGCGCATCGCTCAACATCCCTTCCCGCCCCCTCCCCTTCCCGTCCTGCCTCGTCCATCCAATTTCGGCACGTCTCCTCCCCTTTCCTCTCGTCCATTCCAGTCCCGTTTCGTCCCGTCGCGTCCATCCCGTCCGTCTCGTCCCGTCCCGTCACGTCCTGTCCCGTCGAGTCCCCACCCGTTCCGTCGGGTCCCGTCCCGCCCCGTCCAGTCCCGTCGCGTCCCGTCCAGTCCCGATTGCTTGAGTGGTTATCCGGTTTCAAGCGTATTACACTTGGTTGGGAGTTGTGAAATATGAGACGTGGACTTTAACTGTCACGAGCGCAGGTCAAATTCAAAACTTGAAATCAGGGCTTCCTGAAAAAATGTACGTGAGCCCTAATCTCATAAAGGCGCATGTCAACCTATTAGCAGCGGGAAGGAGCATGCTAACACCGATCTGCTACCTACAGCAAGGGAGGAAGAGGGGTGCGGGAGGGGAGGAGGGGAATTGTAGGGCAAAACAACTAGTACAAAGTGTGAACTGATGGTGCTGAGTCACTCTTCGCCATACAAAGTATGAAAGTTGCGGGGAGGATGAAAGTGGTAGGAGAAGAGTGGCAACTTTGGCAACTCGCAGGAACACTTGCACTCCGGATCCAGGTTGATACCCCAAATTCTTAAAATCAGCCCGTAAGAAAAACGGGCTCCCCTCGAAACCAGCCCTTCGAAATGCCGAAGCTGGCCAGGAGTTCGCCAGAATGTTCAGGGCATTTAAGTTGCGGTTTACATTCTAAAAGGGATTTTATAGAGATAACCTAAGTGCACACCCTTTGGCGCAGTATGATTCGAGAGCGAAGTGAGCTTCTTCCTCAAACACCTGTGCAAGGAATTCAAACACTGTTGGCGATGACATACAACGTGAGCTGGTTTGTTTGGGGGAAGTAATCCGCGGAAATGCGGAAGACCCTCCGCCCAACACAAACAACCAAGCGGAATAGAAAACGTATGCCGTGATAAGCATAACCACCAAGCATGCAATCTATGCCATACCGCTCTAGCCTACGAATCCCGCTAGCTGCAGGCAGCGCAGCAGAATACTGCACGCCAGCGCGCCCACTGGCACAAAATTTGCCTGGAGCGCGTAGTGTAGTGTTTGTTTCACGCAGCCACACTGATAGCCGCGATTTCTGCTAGCAGCATGTATCATAACGTCTGTTTTACGCCATCCCGCTCACAGCAGCAATTATGGCCATGTGCTCGTAGCGTATCGTCTTCTTCACGCCACTACGCTAAGCCGCGATTCCCGCTTGCGGCGTCTGTTTTGCGCCACCACGCTAAGAGCCGCGATTCTCGCTAGTTGCCATTCCCTTGCCCTCGCAGCGCCGGCCTTCCATCTCGCTCGTCTCTCTTCATCTCGTCGCTTCAAAGCTTCCTTCTTCTGTTCGTTCACCTCCAGCGCAGCTCGGTCGACCTCGTTCCAGCGCTGCAGTGCTCGCACTGCTCCAGCACCGCAGAGAAGCGGCTCTCCAATGCTGCAAGTCTACGGCGTGCCAACGTTGGAGCAAGGCGGCTGCACAGCGTTGCACCCGCAAGACAGCGTTGCACATGCTTCGCAGGTGCACACAGCTGGTTGGCTTGCGAAGCCCCGTCACGTGCACAGCGCAGACACTCCGCCAGCGACTGCGCCCACTAGCCACGTTGACCTCGGGATACCACTTCTGAGGTCAGCCTCGTAGAAACCACCCCGGCGACCATCGCACATGTCGCCCAGGTAACTCGGTCTACCAGGCAACCCCCCCTGGTCGACCCGGCTCATCGGTCGCCAGCTGCACAAGGCCGGCGTCCCCCAAAGTCGGCGACAGCTGGTCGGCGCCTCCCCAGCCGGCCTCGCCAGTCCGACCACCTGAACCCGTCGCCACTCCAGTTCGGCGCCTTGCAGCACGGCGCCCACCTACTTCGGCTCCCTGCTGCTCAGCGCCCGGCGCCCTCCTGCTTGGCGTCGGCTCCCACCAAGGTGCCCCTTCCCAGGTCGACGACAACGCCTCCTAAAAGTCGGCGCCCCTTCCCCCGTCGACCACCGGGTCCAGTTGGACGTCGGCTCCCTATTGACGGCGGCGTTGCAGTGGCCTGATGCCCAAGTCGGCGTCGTCCACTGCAGCTGATCGGCTGCGCTCCTCGCACACCCGACTGAAAGTCGTCTCCGCCCAAGCGAGGACGGGTCCAACACCCATTTCCCATTGACACCTTGCCCACCTCCCTCTCCCATGCCATCCTCTTCCCCTCCCTTTATTGGCCACTCCTTTCCCCTTCTTTACCTTTTATTGGCCACTCCTTTCCCCCCATTTATCCCCGTTTCCACCATCGTTTCCCACTCCTTTCCCTCTCCTTCCTACTCCTTCACTCTCCCATTCCTTTCCCGTTGCTTTTCTTATGCCCTGCCATTGCTTTGCCACTCTCATCTTATCCTTGTGTGCTCGGCTGAGTGTGCCGTGCAGGCTGCAGCAGGGCAGCAAGGCGCCATGGAGGGGAGGACATGGGCACCCCACTACCACACGCGCCGTAGGGCGAGTGGATGCTGGATACTATTGCACTCCCCATTTGCCCTGCCACCACACGCGCCACTCATCCACCCCTACTTCCCTCCTGCTTGGGCCTCCGACTTACTGCTGCAGCTGGGGTGACTCCAGCAGCATGAGCATTATAGGGGATCTCACCACTGAGCAGGAGCTAACTATCCAACGTGCGAGTGGAGGCGACAATAAGAGTGGACAAAGGCTGTCTTGTAACTCAAGTTATTTACCATATAATACATTTAAATGTTCTCCACATCCACCTGTGTTGCAAAAGAGGGACCATTAAAAATACCCACACATGCCCAATGCTATCATTATCGATCCTATAGAACCTCAAACTGATTATGATACGGCAAGGGCTCACATCACACTATCCTAAATCTAACTAACTTGTCTGCTTGGTTGCTTCATGCCTGACGAGCTGCACCATGGAAGAAAGAGCAGGGAGGGAAGAGAGAGGAGGGGGGGAAGAGAGGGCAAGGAGGGAAAAGAGGGTAGGGAGGGAAGAAAGAGCAAGTAGGGAAGAGAGAGCAGGGAGGGAAGAGAGAGCAGGGAGGAAAGAGAGGGTAGGGAGGGAAGAGAGAACAAGGAGGGAAGAGCGAGCAAGGGGGAAACAAAAGGCAAGTAGGGGGGAAACAATGGGTAAGCAGGGGGAAAAGAAAGAGTGGGTAGGGGGGAAACAATGGGTAAGCAATGGAAAAAGAAATAGTGAGCAGGGGGGAAACAATGGGTATTCTAGGGGAAAAGAAAGAGTGAGCAGGGGGGAAACAATGGGTAAGAAGTGAGAAGAAACAAGGAATGAAATGACTAAGGGAAAGTTGGGTACAAAATACAAACCCTAGAAAACTGTACCCCATATGTGCTACCCCACTATAGCCTACAGTAGCTCTGTCATATAAATCTGACACACCCCCATAGGCAAAGTGGGGGAGAACAAGGGGTCACAAGACCAGTCAAGCAAAGCAAAGCAAGCTCAG